TATATATATATATATATATTTTGTTTTTGGTATTCATTTTTAGAGGTTTCTTTCTTATTTTCTATCTTTCATATCTATAATACAAAAGAATGTGAAGAAGATGTTTGTGTAGGCATATGTATGTATTTACATGTATGCTTGTGTGTGCGCTCGAAATCTCAAGTCACTATCACTCTGTGTGTGTGTGTGTATATATATATATATATATAGCAGGTATGTATAACTAAATAATAGACATAATCACCAATCCATCTGGTATGGCTGTATATGTATAAAATATAGATTTATATTTATTATTTTCTCAAGGATTAGTATTTTTATGGATTTTTGGTGAAAATCTGGGCAACTTATTCACGAAATATCCATAAAGACTAATAATTCATTATTTTGATATTTTTAATATATATTAGATTTGAGTACTGACAATCTCAAGAATATATTTGTAGCTTCGACATCTCCGTCAATCCTGATAATTTTCTCCTTTTTCATTAGCTTCGAATACAGGGAAAAAGGATGATATTGTGATTTTTCTTTGTCAGGATCAATATTTGTATGGATCTTTTTTTCTGAAAAGAAAATATGTGGAAACTTGTTTATGAAATATCCATAAAAGAGCAATAACGAACATTTCGGTATATTTTAATGGTTATTTTCCTTTAATTTGACATCGATATTCCTTAGAAAATACTTGTAACTTCGATATCTCCGTCGATGCTGATATTTTACACTTTACGTTAAACTAATATTGGTTTAAAAATTGTGCTTGGCGGCGCCAAGAGATTTTACCCAAACCTTAACACGTTATTGAATAACTTCTCTAAGACGTCGATATGGAACTCACGCTGATCAATGGCATGGTACTTAACTAATAGTGAAGATTTGTTAGTGAAATTATCAATAGTATTTCTCATGACATAAATTACATACATTTTACTTTTAGTATGATATATATATATATATATGTTTGTATGTATGTATGTATGTATGTATGTATGTTTGTATGTATGTATTTACTTGCTAGTAATATATATATATATATATATATATATATGTTTGTATGTATGTATTTACTTGCTAGTGTTCTATCTAGTTCATAAGTACCAATGGAAAACAAATCATCACCCTTACCATTTATAATCATAAATCCTTAGATGACAGATGAGAAGTAAAGTGGGAGTATTTAAAATTTAGAGGCCAGATGAGATTTATCCTCATTTATTCAAGACACTCATTTACAAGTTTTTTTTTTTTTTTTTTTTTTTTTTTTTTTCTGCATCGAAAAACAACTCCACTACTAATTCCAAAAGATTATTTGGATTTTCTCAGGTATAAAGGAAACTCTTCAAACATCTTAGACAATTCACTTTTATTCCTACATAGGAAAAGAACCTCACTATATGTATCTATTGTAATATACGTATGTGTATATAAATGTAACATTTTTTTTATTAGTACGTAATTACGTAACAAGTGTGTATACAAGTTATATTTTTAGCATTTAGGAATAATGAATGTTGAGAATTATAACTTCGTAGGACTCGGATCAGGCGGGGGTGGAGAGTAATTAGTTGAATTTGAAAATTTTTAGATTTTTTTTTTAAAATTTAAGGATGGAAAATTTGAGCTCTACACCTTATGCTGGGCCTGGAATTACTGTCAAACTTTGACTACAACCATAATACATTCTTCGTTTAAATTTTTGCTGTCAAACTAATTCTCGTAATTTATCTTCTTTTTTTTTTGTCGATAGAAATATTTATTTTACACAATATCTATAACTTCTTCTTTCCTTGAAGGTGGCATTGTTGTTGACACTGCTGGAGGAAGCTTGACCCCTCATGTCATAATTGCACAAACTGGGGAGGTAAGTTGGATAGTTAATTAGGCCTTTTTTCACTTGGTCTCTATGATTTGAGAAAATATGATATCCTATTATTAATTACTAGCCCGTAACGTTTTCAAAATGATTTTGTTTTCAATATAAAAGTAAAAATGAGATTGTTTTGAGAATCACTCTGAGACATTCTAAAATTACGTTTGATTAGTTTTTTAAGAATTATTTTGAGTAAAAAAAGTAAAATCGTATTTGGTTATAATTATTAAATAATATAATATAACACTATTGATAAGTATTAAGAAATGAAAACATAAAAGGTAAAACAACTTTTCAACCGTTTTCTAATTCTTTCACAAAAACTATTCTCACTGTTTTTTATTTTCGTTTTCATTTTCAAAACATTTGCTAAACAAACACGGTTTGAAGACTGTTTTCATTTTCACGTCTTAAAAGATGTGCAAAAACGTTTTAAAAAACAAGTAAAAATCAATTCCAATAGTTTATTTGTAACGTATTATTTTGTTAATTTAAAATTACCACTCATTTATCATGACAGTTGACACAAAAATTTTAAGAATTATACATTGATATCCCAAAAATTAATATCTTGATATCAGGATAATTATATGCCATTTGGTTTTGTTTTCAGGATGTTGTCGGCAAGATAATTTCCTTCTCTGAAAAGGGTCCTCGAGCAGTTTGCGTTATTTCAGCCACCGGGGTCGTTTCCAATGTTACTATTCGCCAACCGTCAGGCGGATTTTTGAGATTTGAGGCATGAGTCTTACTCTTTCTAAATCCTCTTTAATCTATAATATTTCGCTTGTTTTTGAATGTGTCAAGTTAAACTAAGAAAATGTGTTAGTATTCTAATTTATCACAGTGTATCTACTCTTCTATATTCTAAATTCTCTGATTATATTCTTGGTGTGACTATTTTTTATGCATCAAAAGTGTCAAGAATTACTTTAGGATATGTTTGGTAGGAGAGAAAAAAAAAAAAAAAGATGAATAGATTCGAAAGGATAGAAAATGTAAATAATAAATACATAATTATAATAATCTTTTAAATTATTTAGTAGGACCGAGAGATTCAAACAGATATGAATGGAAGTAATATATATAATTACCATATTGTCAATTCTTTGACTGTGAATAATTTTTGAAGAGGTTAAAATAATCTTTTTCTAGCTCATATTGACGGATATTTTGAATCCTTTAAAGCCACGTTTGCTTAGAAGTAAGAAAATAGGAAGGGGAGAAAGACGTATAACCTAAGTGAGAAAAATAAATTAAGAAGAATAAGACATTTCTCTTATAGTGTTTGGTATGAAATCTCTTCTCTAATATCTTCGTACTTGAAAGATTTAGGGCCCGTTTAGTTCATTGATTCTAATTTTTAATTCGAGTTGAGATGTGACTTTATATGAGAGCTTTTTACTGTAACAAAAAGTTAGACGAGACTGTTTCTGAGAGCTTTTTACTATACCAAAACTCAAAATCTAAACTCGAATCGGTGAAATAAACGGGGCCTTAATTCTCTCATATTAACTCTCTTACCAAGCAATCATGTACAAAAATCCTTTAACTAATACCCTCATCCTTTTACCCATTACACTTTTCCTTCCTGGCTCCTACAAACAAGCTCTAACAAATGCACTGATTAAATTAGTGGGGTTAATGGTAGACTCTCTCTTTTTATCTCTCGTCTTTTCCTCCATTTTCCTTCTATCCAAGCAATCGATTAGCCTTTTCCTCCGATTCTTCCACCAACCAAACACAACCTTATTTTAATGGAAACATACTTAAACATGAGAAAAATATAATATATGCAGTTAGCAATTAAAAAGAGCAGAAAACATAAACGATCCAGTTATACATTTGAAAATAAAATTGATGAGGAATAAAAGTTAACTATGAGGAAGATAAATATAGGAAATCAATTTTGAGTAAATTAGATTGATTTTTGATATCTGAGAAAGTTGTCTGATTTTATTATTTGATTTGTTATATTTAGTTTATCATTTTGGTTCTGTAATTGGCCTATAAATTGGCTACAAAGTTGCAGCCAAGTAAGACATGATTGATGATTATCGAATAAAGAATTTCTCCTCCTTTAATTTCTTCTCCCTCAATCTCTCTATCTCGATTCCTTTTTAAATCCCTAATTTCTTCTTCCTCAAAAACTTCTGTCACACCCACTGTTACTGAAATGTTATCATAAAACAATTAAAATCATTAGATTACTGTTTTTATTCTCATGTCTTAACAATTATAAGCTCGTATTGTTATCAATTTTGCATGACAAATTATCAATGTTATATAACAAATAAAACGTTATTTGTTATCTGAAGTCTTATAAGAAATGTGGTTTGTTGTAATTTGCATGTTGCAGGGTCTCTTTGAGATTCTCACTCTATCTGGATCACATGTACTCAATTCGACAAGTGGTCCTCAGCAGCGTCAGAATGGTACGCTCAGCGTTTCACTGGCTAAGCCAGATGGGCGGGTTTTTGGTGGAGGTGTTGTGGGTTCAATGATAGCTGCTGGCCCTATTCAAGTAAGGTTTTTTTTTTTTTTTTTTTTTTTTTTTTTTTTTTTTTTTTCATAGCGATTAGCTTGCACACTAAAACAAAAAAATAAAGTTCGAATTAGAATGTGATTTGAGCAGATTATAACTCAGACTCTGTTTATTTCACTGATTCGAACTTAGAATTTGAGTTTTGTTACAGTAAAAAATTCTCACATAAAGTCACATCTAACTTTTTTACTACAGTAAAAAGTTTTCACATAAAATCACATCTCAACTCAAATTAAAAATTCGAATCAGCGAACTAAACAGGCCCTCAATTTCTTGAAAAAGAAATACTGTCATTTGCACATCTTGTTATAAGTAGGGTCGGCAATATGGGTCACGACACGAATTTCACGGGTTAAGGTTGAGAAAAAATATGTTTTGGTTAGAATTGGGTCGACCTAAAATTGACACGAATGACATTTCGGGTTAGACCCGCCTAACCCGAACACGACACGAAACTCGTAAAAAATTAAAAAATATATATTTTTTATTATATATTTTAAATTTTATTATGAACTTGTGATATCATGATAGTTATACTCAAAATCTTATACTATTATTTCCTTAATTTTGATGGATGTTATTGTATTTTAAAATGTGTTATGAATTTTAAGTTATTTCTAATATGTAAAAAACTAAAGAAAAGTATATAATTTTCGTGTCAATTTCGGGTTCACGGGTCAATTTTATGTCGCGGGTCATTTTTGTATCGTGTCAACCTGTAAAGTGATCGTGTCGTGTTCGTGTTGCGGTTTTAAAATTTTTTCATGTCACGAGTCGTGTTTGAGTTTACTTAAATTTAAGATGAAACGATCAAAATACGACACGAATATGGTGATACGAATTGTCACTCTAAATTATAAGTATTTAAAAGAATTGGTAAACTAATATAATACGCGAGTAAGTCCAAATCCATCTAATTTCCCTTCCAAATTTGTCAGTTCGGCTATGGTGGACCTGAGTAGAGAGGGGAAGAAAAGAGAGAGTTAAGGATAGTTTTTAGTTTTTTTATAATGTTTGGAAACTTATATATATATATATATATATATGTTATTATTTACTAACCACCGTCTCAAATATGCTATTTTACTCATTCTAGCCTTGATTTGGGCTGATTTTTCCGGCTCTCTTTGTTCTCTCTAAAATTTGGCTTAGTGTTAGCCATTGGTTTGGATTTGTCTCCCTCTGATATTTTCTACAACCATAAGTGAATATTGGAAAATAAATACTATTGTTGTTGGCCTTCCCGCTTTAAGCTTAAGCATTTGAATTTTGAGAGTCGGTAAACTCACAAATTCTATTACTTACCATTCTCCCGTTTAGTTCACTGATTCGAGTTTTTAATTTGAGTTGAGATGTGACTTTATATAAAAATTTTTAATAGTAACAGAAAAAGTTAAAAGTGATTTTTTATGGGAATTTTTAATTATAGTAAAATTAAAATTGAAAACTTAAATCGGTGAAATGAACGAGACCTCATAATTTTTCATGTTTTACTAATCCTAACACTTTTCCACGTATAATGTAAATCACAACTAGCTTGCTATCAAACTTATTTTGGTTTCTTTTGATTTATCAGATCGTTGTAGGAAGTTTCAAGCAAGACATCAGCAGCCAACTGAGGCGTCTTTCGGGAGAATCCGCGGTCGCCAATGTGCTTGCTAGTCCAGATCTAGTAAGAGTTCCAGTGATGATGGCTCCAACAAATGTTGATGAGAGAAATCTGACATCTGCATTTCTGGAATCAGCCCATGGAGGGGCAGCAGGAAATTCCATTGCTGCAAACCAGCACATGAGCCATACCTCTCTGCTTAATCTGGGTCAGAATGCCTTCCAAGCAATGTCTGATCAAAGAACTCCTCCTGACAGCAAGTCCAACTTTGTTCACCTATAAAGGTTCTCTCTCTCTCTCTCTCTCTCTCTCTCTCTCTCTATATATATATATATATATATACACACAGAAATGTCTTAGGTCCAGCAGTCGGATCGGTCCAAAAAATGTAACCTTTTTTGTATTCTCATTTAAAATTGTTTATTCTTGTGTATAACAATTAGTTTATTGAAGAGTAACCTTCAAAATGAAGTCCAATACGTGTGCCATTGAGTATTACACTCAAAAACCAAATGTTACACACAAATATGAACGATATTACACGAGAACATAAAAAAAGTTACATTTGTCGGGCTGTGTGGGTGGTGGACTTAAGACTTTGCCTGCACATATAAATATATATATATATATATATATATTTGCGTGTGTATGTATAAATTTTTATGGTTGTGATGCATAAAGAGCATATTGCTGAGGAATGAGTGAAATTGATTTTTTTTTTTGTTTTTGTTTTTGTTTTTTTTCCCTTTCAGGTTTCACATTGAATTCTACAATAGCTGGCTAAAGAGGGGGGATGGATATTTAGGCAGAGAGGATTACACAGTGACTGGTTTTATATTCAGTGACATCTGATTTTGTTCTTCTAGTTGTATTTTGTGCTTTGTTCATGCAAACAAAAAATGACCTTTTTTTTTTTCATTAGTCAATAATAGTCTTTTTGGCATGAGAACGATCAAATAAATCAATAAGCTATTCTTAAGCACTCCGTAGGCTGGCTTTGGAGCTCAATTGAACATGTTGCTCAAATGGAATTTTGCTGTGAGAAATAGGAAGGTGAAAATTAGAAAGCACCAAATTTTGCTTAAGTTATTTATTTTCAACACTTGAAAATTTACAACATTTTTTCGTAAAAAATTATATATCTCGTAAAAATATATGTGTGTGTGTGTGTGTATGTAATATGTTTACTATGTTTAGCTTAAACC